TGTTTACTATTTGGTGTGAGTCTGTTTGTTTGTTCGTCTTTCACGGTAGACCGTAGAATGGAGTCGGAAGGGTTTTTTGATTGGAGAGCAGAGGTTAGTCTATGAATAAATTATATTCAGTTAATTGAATTCGTATTTTTCTTAAATCTCTGATCCCTGATGCAGCTGAATACTAGAGGTAGATAATATTAGTCCTTGAAAGCCCACGGAATCTAATTTTAGTCTGTTCATGCCAAAATTTACTATGGAAGTATGTAGAACCATAACAATTACAAATCATCAGGTTGGTTAGCATAGTAATGTTACCTGTCAGTTAAGCGTTTCCAGATAAATCGTAATTAATCCTTACTATTATAAATGGGAAAGTGAGTCTGTTTGTTTGTTTCACTTTCACACCGTAACATCTAAACCGATTACCGCTTTGAATTTTTGCAGACGTAAAGTTAGAAGTCCGAAATAAATAATAGGGTACTTTTTGTCCCGGAAAATCTTGATATTCCCGAGGGAAAACAAAAGAATTAGTATAGATGGCGCTGTGTATATTGGTATATGTCACATAGGCTACTTTTATCCTTTTGTGACGCGAGCGAAGCCGCGGGTAAAAGCTAGTATTCTTAATAATCGGCATAGTGACTTCCACATGAAAGGTCGCATATATGCCGTCGTGGACTTTTATTTAGAACTAGTCAAGACAAACAATCTCACAGTACATTATCTTAGTGTAACTCCTATAGTTTAAGCAGCGTACGCCGATATAGGTCTCAGAGACCCGATTTGGCTAAAATTTTGTGTTATATTACGTCCAAAATAACATAAAGTCATTACAAATTGTAGCCTGTAAGTTATTCTGATGTATGACCTACATTACTGTGAAGTTTCGTCTGAATCCAATCAGTAGTTTTTGCATGAACTAGTAACAAACACATTTACACACTAACACACATACATACATCCTCACAAACTTTCGCATTTATAAAATAATAGGATAGGATTAGTAGGAAGAAGGAAGTAGGATAAACAACCGAATGATACTAACTTACCGTTAATGGCTCAAATAACAATTTCATTTTTCACAAACTTCATTAAGTAAGTGTTAAATTAAACCGTTAATTTATAATGAAAACATCATAGATAATAAATCGAACAAGATTTATAGTCATGCTAAATAATACATTTACAATTACTCAATTTCTTTTCTTTGTCTTATCGTATATTAAAATGGTGTTCATTATGATTATTACGTTGACTAGCTGTGCCCGTGACTTCGTTCAAGAAGAAAAGTGACTTTGGATTGTTCTTTACAGCTCCTCCCCCGTAGGTGATCGCATGATTATCCTACTAATACTATAAATGCGAAAGGTAAACTCATAAGACGAGAAGAAGATGGACGATTGTCACACACATTGTATCGTAAACTGACACACACAGACCGGTACTTACGAGCTGACTCACACCATCATCCCTCCCACCGGACCGCTGTTCCCCGGACTTTGATAAACCGGGCGCTGAGTCTATGCGACCCTCAGTACATTGACGACGAATATGACCATTTAAAACGGTTACTGGAAAACAATGGA